AATTAGTAGTGAGATATTATAAAACCTTTTTTTGATCTGCTGGGGGCAGGAATGAGCCTAGAGGGAGGTGACAAATGCAGGGCTCATGGGCTGTTGAGAGATGAATTGTAAGGTTGTGAGGGTCCTAGGGGCTGGGAGGGATTCCTGGAAGGGAGGGCTCTAACTGTACCTAGGAGCCAGCTGGAGGCTGCCCCAGGAGGGAAGGTGGTGGATGGAGTGGGTTTCTGAGCAAAGAGAGGGCCCCCAGATAAACTCACTAGAAAAAACAAGCTTTAGGCTCTTGCTTTTTTATTGAGGGACTGGAGTCTCCTCCAGACCCTTGATCTTTAACCTTCAAAGCACTTTTTCAGCTCAGCGACTCTGGGCCGGCTTCTGGCCTGGGGCTCCTGACTGCTGCTAATGGGTGCAGCAGAGGGTGTGGGGGCTTCCAGCTCCTTGGGAGGCTGGAGGTGACCATGCTCTGCTAGCAGGACCTTGGAAGACTGGGCTCTGGGGTTCTCTAGGGAGCCTGGATCCGAGGAAGAATGAAGGGGTTGGGATGTCCAGGTAACATCCAAGTTGGGCTTTGTGGGGACTAGAAGTTGGGGGCTTTCTGGAGGGCTGGGCTGGGGGGGTGCTGTGGAGAGCTGGGAGCAGGGGCTCTCCTGGGCTATGGGATCCTCAGCTGCCTTGTGGGAAGGAGAGAGATCTAGGATTAGAGGATGGGGCTCTGTGAGAGAGGATTCAGGGTCCCCTTGGCTGCTTGGGTCTGGAGAAGCTGTTGAACCTGGAGAAATGATTTCTTGGCTGCCCTCCGAGGGCGGCTGGGAAGTAGGGTTCTCCGAGGAACTTGTGGTGTCTGAAGGTTGGAGGGTTTGCAGTGATGGTAGTCTGATAGGCAGGGACAGGGGCTGGGGCTCTGGCTCTGGTGGTTTCTCATCATCGGATTGCCATCTTGGTCCTTCTGGTATGTCAGGCTGGGTGGGGGTGGGGAGATGGGCAAGTTGCTGGCCTTTAGAGGCCAGAGGGGCTGGCAAGTATGATGGGCAAATGGGAGAGGACTGGGGAGCTCTCACCAGGCTGAGGCAGCTGTCCAGGGCCCCTCTGTGGCAGCAGTCTAAGCTCTGGCTGGGCCGCAGGCTGCCCGTCCTGGCGGCTCCCATGCTCAGACTGTCCAGAATCTCGCTCAGCAAATCCAATTCTTCTCCGGACCCCAGGAAGCTGCTGTCCAGAGTTTCCTCTGCCCACGGGTCCGGGGCATCCTCAGGGCTCAGAGGGGGTGTCCTGGGTGAAGATGAGCAGCCTCAGATATCTCCCGGAGACCCCCATCCCTGGTCCGGCTGCTCTGGAGGGTCTGGAGTTGGGGGACCATCCTCCTCATCAGTCCTGGCCTCCCCCCTTCCCTGCCTTTGAAGCTTACTTCTCTCCCAAGGATTCAGAAGGTCTCTCTTCCAGCCGGATTCTCCTGCTGGGGCGAAGGGGCCGGTTCTGCAAAGACAGATTTGGGGGGTAGGCACCAAAGGTGGTGGGGGGGGTGAGATATCTGGATGGAGACTGATGATGGGAGGGGACTTGGTGATAATTCCAGGTGTGTGTTGGAATGAGGGCGGGGGCATCTTACTTGTCCAAAGTGCTGGGTGATGGGCAGACGCTGTTGCAGGCGATCTGACCGGCTGGTGAGGGCTGGGATCCTCAGGGAGCCCCCCCTCTGCAGGGCAGAGTCTCCATCCTAGGAAAAGTGTGGGTGAGCCAGGAGACCATTCCCCCACTGCCCCCCCGGCCGTTGGCCATCGACTTTACCTTGTACATCAGAAGACTCTGCATGCCCTTCAAACCACTCTTGGCCTATGGAGAAGCCAAAAGAATTAGATTCGAGAGCGATTTGACTCTGGGCATTTGGAAACTCGGGCCCTCGTCCTCTAGGACAGCTGTGTTTTGCCATCTATTCATGTTTGTGTCTGAAATATATTCACAATTCCCCCTGCGCCACCTAAGAAGTCAATACAAACTCACCCCTTTGACTAATACAAAAGGAATATTCCAGGAGGAAATAACCCCCAAATGAAACGAGGAGTGGCAAAAACAGAACATCGTAAAAATGCGTCAGTCTCCAAAAGCTGAGGGGAGAAGAAAATGTAATGGACACATTCGGAGTTGTGACAGCTGGCCACGGGAAACTTGGGCTTGGGAGGAAAAACCCCATGGGCAGAAGCTGGGGTGGGAGTGTCTGAGAAGGACAAAAGATGCTCGTGAATGAATCTTGGTTGTCAATTTTAAATGGGAAAGATGATCCTGACAAAAGTACGGTAAATGGAAAATAAAGTGGGAAGAATTGTTAATGGTTTAACTGCTGGTTCAGTTCTGATAAAAATGTTTGCACTTTAAATGTGAGGTTAAAGTGTCTCCGTGAGGGGTGGAAATGCCCTCTGTCTCCCCAGCTTTGTCACCTCTGTAAGTGGCCCGTCTAGCCCAGCCTTACCGAGCGGTACATGTTTCTGACGGCTGGTTGGGTCTTAGCCTTGACCGAATGCAGGAGGGCACCACCACCTTTCTGGGAAGAGAATGTCAAGGGAGAGAGGCTTGGGCATCTGGGGTTACCCCAGATTCCACCCCCCCCAACCCAGGGCTGTGGGATGCTGGACAAGCTCCTCTCCCTCTCTGATTTCTTCACCTCTATCTATAAATGAGCAAAATGATGATCCTACTGTTGTGGGATTAAATTAATTCAATAATCAACCCTAAACCAGTGTTGGGTGTTACTACCTTTAAGTTGTCTGCCCAGAGCTGGTAGGAGCGAAGGGTGCCTGGAGTGGGGAGAGAGGCGGTCATGGCGGGCAGGCTCAGGTGGGGTGCTGGTGGGGTGGGGGCTCCAGGCTAGGTGCAGGGCTCACCTGAGGAGGCCTCGCTGGAGGTGATCTCCTGCTCAAAGAGGTCCGAGAAGACCTCTCCTGTGTTGAGTTTCTCCAGCCGGCCTTCAATGAACTGAGGGTGGAGAGAAGGGTGAGAAAGTCACAGCTGCCACCAACACATCTGAATGCGAGGACTAGGAGTCCGCTCGTCCTCCAGACGTGGAAGCCATCCCTGGCCCACCCCCAGGACCCAGGAGTGTGGAGCCCACCCCAGAAAGCCAGAGGTCCAGCCGTCTCCCCGCCCCCACCTCGGGACTTGTCCTCAGGGACCAGACCCCGCCCCTCACAAGGACCCGGAAGTCAGACTCCGCCGCTCCAGACCCGCTCACCTCCTCTCAGTGACCCTGGAAGAGGTCGACCCCACCTGCAGGGACCTAGAACCCATCCCCGCACTGAAGGACCCTGCGGTCCGGCCCACCTTCTCCCAAGAACCCAGGAGTTCGCCTTCACTTTCTTCCCATCTCTAGGACCCAGGAGTCTCGGCCCGCCTCCTTCTCCCGCCAAAGGGAGTGCGACCTGGACCCCCACCCTCTTCCCAGGCGGCTCCCTTCTTAGGGACTCGGGAATTTGATCCCACCCCTATCTCTTCAGAGACCTAGATCTTATCCCTCAGGAACTCAGGTGGAGGGCTCCCATCTTTACGGACCCAAGAGTTCCGTCCTGACTCCCGCACCCCGGGGACCCTGAAGTGGGGGATCCCGCGGGGCCGACCCTAGCCGCGTCCCCAGGACCCCAGGAGTCTGCGCCCCTAGCCCCGCCCCTCAGGCCCCAGCCGCGCCCCCAGGGACCGGAGTCTGCGCCCCTAGCCCCGCCCCTCAGGCCCCAGCCGCGCCCCCAGGGACCGGAGTCTGCGCCCCTAGCCCCGCCCCTCAGGCCCCAGCCGCGCCCCCAGGGACCGGAGTCTGCGCCCCTAGCCCCGCCCCTCAGGCCCGCCCCGCCCCCAGGGACCAGGGAGTCCGCGCCCCTAGCCCGGCCCCTCCGGCCACAGCCCCGCTCTCAGGCGCACCTGTTTGAACAGCTGCAGGTGCACAGCCCGCCGGTGGAAGGCCTGCAGGGGCGCCCCGGGCTTCTGGGCCAAGAAGACTTCTTCGCTGAAGGTCACAGGCTGGCCCTGGAAGAAGGACCCGCCTCCTGAGCTCCCTGCGGTTCTGGACCCCAGCTGCCTCCTTCATTCTACCATAGATCTATGTAGCAAACGTTGATCGAGCGCCTACTGTGTGCCTGATCTTGTGCAGGGCCTCGTGGGCCGCGGGGAGGACTTGGGCTTTTACCCCGAGGGAGGTGAGAGCCCCGGAGGGCTGTGGGCAGAGGAGGGGGGACCTGACTCAGGGGCTCACAGGCGCCCTCTACGGAAAGGATGGATGGTGGAGGGCGAGGGTGGGAGCCCGCGAGAGGGGACTCAAGGGAGAGGCGAGCGCCCTGATCCAGGCGATCAATAATGGGGACCAGACCAGAGTGGAGACAGAGGAGCAGAAATGAGCAGATTCGGGATGTGTTGGAAGGTCAGAGCCGACAGGAACATCAGATGCTCAAATGATAGAACCCCCCAACGTTTTTATAGAATAGTTGTGAAAAACTAGAGGGGAGGGTTGAAAGTCTGCAGATCAAAGTCCTGGCTTCAACACTCACCCGCTGTGGGACTTCTCCAAGCCTCGGTCTCCTCGTATGAATAATGCGACCATAATAGTGTCCATCTCACAATACTGTTGTGAGCATTAAATGAGATGATAGTAACAGCGAAACCTAGCATTTTTCGAGTGCTCACGATGTGCCAGGCACTATGGAAGCATTCCGCATGCGCCTATCCGCTGACTCACACCACACTTTTGGGTGGGTACTATTGGAATCCCGTTTTACAGATGAGCAAAAGGAGGCACAGAGTAAGCACTCCATAAATCTAGGTGTCATTATTATTCTGAATCCTTCAGGAACCCCCGAGGCCTCTGCCTCGGCGTCCCCGCTGCTCACCGGGCTGTAGACGAGCGCATCGCGGTACCCCCCGAAGAGCAGGGCCTGGGCTTTGAGGAAGAGACGGGACACCCCTTCCCCGGGGGCCAGGGCGACCTTCCTGAGCCGCAGCCTCAGCAGCGACACCTGGAGGACAAGGGGGGTCGCTGAGCGGGCGGGTGTGGGGCCTCCGCCTCCGGGAGGCGGCAGGAGGGTGGAAGGGGATGACACTGACCACGTCTGGGGGCAGCGCCTGCACGTCGTCGAAGGGCGTCTCCAAGGTGTTGGAGTCCACGTTCATCATCACGACGTCCTCTAGGGCTTTCTCCCGCACTCTCTGCGTCGGGGGGTGGGAGGGGGCACGGCCGCTCAGAGCGCGAGGATGCTGAGGGAGGGGTCCCCGCCCGTGCCGGCAGTCCAGGTCTGCTCCCACTCACCTCGGCGAGACTGGCGTGCACTCCAATGAGGTAGGGCATGGGCGCGCTGCGGAGGACCGAGGGTGCAGGGTCACGCAGGCGCCACTCCCGGGTCCCCTGCCCCACCCCAGCCCCCGCCCCTCACCAGCAGTAGTCCAGCAAGTGAGGCGGCAGCGTGGGGATCAGTACGTGCTCCCAGTGCATGGGGTACAGGAGGGCGCAGGACGCGTGGACGCACGAGGTCAACTGGGGACGGGTAGGGGGCCGTGGAGTCAGGGCCTGGACCCTCAGCTTCGAGCACCCGCTCTGGGACGGTGGCTCTCCTCGCTCCATTTGCCACGTCCCCAGGCTTCTGTCCTCCACCCTCCATCCCTTCCCCACCCGATACTGGCTAAGAAGTGAAAACTCAGACTCCTTTAGGAATAATGTGGAGACCAAGAATTCAGCAAACGAGGGTGCTTGGAGTGGGTGGAGCCAGGACTCAGCAAGTCTCTCCTTTTAGGGGGCGGAGCTAATATGCAACCCTCCAATCGGTAGGGGTACATCAACTCAGCCCACTGACTCCACCCCAAAAGAGGCGGGCTAGTACGGAGCCCGCCCCTTCCCACGCTCCTAGGGGTGGAGCCACGACTCGGCTCCGCTGACCCCACTCTTAGGAGGCGGGGCTAGAATGCAGCACCCCTTGGTCCCGCCCCTAGGGGTGGAGCCAACATTTAGCCTCCACCCCTCACCCCGTCCTGCCCCTAGGGGCGGAGCTAGAATTCAGGGCTCCCCGACCTCGTCCTCCAGAGGGGCGGAGCCAGTCTTGGTCTGGCCCGTAGTGGGTGGAGTCTGGACTCAGCGCTCCCAAAGTGGGAGGAGCCACAGCGCAGCGCCCTCTGATTCCCCCACTAGGGACAGAGCCAAGATTCAACTCCACCTTGACCTTCAAAGGGGCAGGGCCAGGACTTGGCGCTCGGGTCTCGCCGCGTGGGGTTAGAACTAGGATCCGCCCCCGTTGCCCCGCCCCCAGGGGCGTAGCCAGCCCGTGGCCCCTCCCCCGGCCCGGCCGGCCCCGCCTCACGGTGCTCAGTTTGCTGGAGGTGAGCAGGACCCTGCGCTCGGCCAGGAGCGCGGCGAACAGCCCCACGATGTTCTCGTCGGTCACCGCCACCACCAGCTCCGTCAGGTTCCTCTGAGGCACAGAAAGGAGCGCTGGGCGCGAGGGACCACAGGATCCGACTGCCCCCTCCGGGTTTCGGGACCTCTTCCCACCCCCAGACGTCCCCCCTCCCAGGTGTCCACTCACGTTCTCAGGAATGGAGGGCAGGCGGCCGGAGTCGGGGACCACGAAGCAGGAAAGCTGGTGGGGGGGTTGGCGGGGGGGGGACCGATCAGTCAGGGGGTTGGCCTCACCTGGGTGCCCTACCTTCCCAGGTCCCCAGCTCCACTCACCGGCTTGGTGTTCCCCGGGGCAGGAGGGGGCGGGATGCCGTGCGCGCCGGAGATCGTCACTTCGCCTCCCTGGGGGAGAAGTGTAACTGTGTGGTCCTCAGGGCTGGGGTGTAGCTTCCCCATCTACCTGAGGTCCCAAGCCCGGGCGTTGGGGGTACTCACCAGCTCCAGCCCCACTGAGGCCTGGGCCCCGGGCAGCGGCTGCTTCTGCAGATTTAGAAGAAGTTGCTCGGCCTCCGAGACCTGGGTGGGGGTGAGGTGTCTGAGCTCGAATGTGGGTTGGGGATTCTAAGGGCCTTGACTCAGGCTCAGTGGTCTGTGAGGAGCCAAAGGGCTCTGGGCAGTCCTGGGAATTCTGAGCAGGGCTTGGGGGCTGGTGGGGGGCTCCCGTGGGAGTGAGAGGGGGGCTGGTCTCACTTGGTCCTGGGCCAGGAGGTCCCCCACTGTGTTCAGCAACTTGTAGAACACCTCAAACCAAGGCAGGTGGCTGTGGAGAGAGGACATGGTTCCATGAAGTGCCCCTAGGCTGAGGCCCTTCCCACACCCCCCAGACCCCATATCCCACACCTGAGGATGCAGAGACAACTGTGGGCACCAGCCCGCAGACGGCAGAAGCCAAATCTGCGGGTGCCAGTCAGGTCCGTGAGGGCGAAGGTGAAGTGCTGTACAGCGAGACTTGGGGGCTCCCTGGAGACAGGAAAGGCTCTCAGAAACCTGGGGGTCCCCTACCCCGAACCCCCAACAATGCTCCTCGTACTGTGTCAACCAGTCTGGGGCCCTGGGTGTATAGGTCCCTAGTTGCCAGGGTCCCCAAGTGTCTGAGTGTCTGAGTCCCTGGGTGTCTGGGTGTCTGAGTCTTAGGGTTCCTAGGTGTATGGTCTCTGATGTCTGAGTCCGTGGATGTTGGAGCCCTGGGGGTCCCTGAGAGGTCTGAGTTCCTGGGTCCTTGGCATCTGCTCCCTTCCATACCTTTCCACATCAAAAGGGAAGCAGAATTTAGGCACCATCTGCATAGCTTCCTGGGGGTGGAGAGAAGCACACACTGCTTGGCCGCTCAGGTTGGGCCTCACCCCTCAGCTCCCAGTCCAAATCATGAGATCCCCTCCCCCAAGGGGAGCAAGGAGCCAGCCTGCGTACCTGGTCCCTGAAGTCTGGGGGGAACTGCCGCAGGATGGGGGGATCTGCGGGGAGAGTAGGCCTCTGAGTTCAGGGCCCCGGGCCCGCCCTCCATCTCCCCACCCCCACCCGATGCCCCCGACTCACCCTCCTGCAGGGAGGCAGGGCAGGCTGCTTCGAAGAACCAATCAAACACGGCAGGGGGATCCCCTCTGTGGGACAGGAAGGGGCTTAGTGGGTCCAGGGACTTGGTTGTGTCTGTGGAGTCTGCATGTGTGTGTGCATGTGTGACCGGTGCAACTGTGTGTGCATGACCCTCGGGTTTGTGGCAGTGAGTGTAGAGGCTGTGTGAGGCTGTGCATGCAATGGTGTTGATTGTATATGCATGACTGGGAGCAGGAGCTCAGTGAGAGAGTGTGATTGTGTGTGTGTGTGCACATGGCTTGTGTGAGCATGCAGGTGTGTGTGTGTTTGTGATTCTATCCCGTGTCTACCTCAAAGGACGAGACCGTCCAGTGTATGTGTCGGGTGGGACTGAGCCAGTGTGAAGGCGCACAACGTCCACGTTTCCTTGCGTGGCTGTGACTGTGACTGGTGACATGTGCGAGCATCCCCGTGGTCTTAAAAGCAAGAGCCCTGCCCATGGTCTCTGTGTGCAAGACTTCATGGGAACCCAGGGATCGACCCCAAATTTCTCATGAGAGAGAGGAAAGCAGAATGCACTGCGACTTCTCTGCACCTTGTAATCTCTGCCTTCCTCCCCCGTTCCCCCCTCCACCTACGGCGCAGAGGATGCTGGGACTCGGGCTCAGAGAGAGAGAGAGAGAGAGAGACCTGGAGGGCCACAGAGGAAGAGGATGGAGTCTGACTGCCGACACACAGTCCCCACCGTGGGGACTCCCTTCACGCTGACACCAGTCCCACACAATCACTCATGCACATGGACACACACGGTCCCCCCACCCTGCTGACCCCCGGAAGCCACCTCCCCATCACTCAGATACACCAAGATGTACTCGCTCAAAGTTACAAACAGCCACAGAGAGCCGGAAAGAGCGAAAGAGAGAGAGAGAGAGAGGAGGGGCCGAGACTGGCCTGAGTGTGCCTGAGAAGCGTCCATACTATAGGCCAGCTGAGAGTCCTGCCCCGATTCCGATTCCGGCCACCTGCCCCTGTGGCTCTCGGTCCCTCCAGAGCCTGCCCCAGCCCCGCTCCCCTCGGCCCCAGCCCCCGCCGGCCGGTCTGGGAATCTTGGTCCAGAAGGTGGGGGAGGGGGCAGCTCTTACTCAGCTTTGGATCCCATGGTCCCTGCAGGCCCGGCCCGGTGGGTCCCTCTCCCTGGGGGTCCTGGGGGCCCGTGCTCGCTCGGGGCTGGGCCCTGAGCTGGTTCAGCTTCCTGTGTGGCCGAGAGAGGAAGTTTAAATGGGTGACGTCCCTGGAGGGAGGCCCCCGCCCCCACCCGCTGTGAGAGACCCAGGCATCCTGCCTCCTAGCCTTCCCCGGGATGGGTGGGCAATAGGGGGTGCAGGCTCAGAGGCAGACCCCCCAGCCCTATCCTGCCAGCTCGGGCCACGTCTGATGCCCGCCACGACACCCAAGCTTTCTCCTGTCTGTGGCAGCCAAGGCTTCAGAGTTTGCCTGAAATGCCTCTTCTCCCAACTCTACTTTGCTTTGGTCCATCTGCACTGGCCATTCCCTGTAGGACCACCAGAGGGAGCCGGGCCTGAGAGTGGACACAGGGGAGCCCCGGAGGTGGACAGACAGCAGTCAGAGCACAGGCACAGACAGACGACACACACACACACAGCCAGGAAGTGACCCACACAAACAGGCTAGAACAGTCACAGACAGCAGACAGACACGGAGAGATACTCTTGGACCCTGCTGCAGACTGAATATGTGTCCCCCCGAAATTTATATGTTAAATCCCAACCCCCAGGGTTATGGTATTAGGAGGTGGGGTCTTTGTGGAGATGATTAGGTCATGAGGGTGGAGTCCTCATGAATGGGATTAGTGCCCTTATAACAGAGACCCCAGACAGCTCCCTGCCCCTTCTGCCATGTGAGGACACAGCAAGAAGACAGCTGTCTGTGAACCAGGAAGCAGGTCCTCACCAGACACGAAATCTGCCGGCGCCTTGATCTTGGACTTCCAGCCTCCAGAACTGTGAGAAATAAATGCACATTGTTTATAAACCACCCAGTCTCTGTTATTCTTCTGTAGCAGTCTGAATGGACTAAAGACAGGCACTGAGGCCCTGAGGCCCTCTTCATATCTGCAATTCACTCCAATTCAGGACAAATACCCAATGGCAAACCCGTTGGGTGGGGATCAAAAAAGAGTTCACATCTCTGATGTGTGACCTCAAAGTGGAATGCTCTCTGCTCCTCGGTTCTGCATCCGTAACATAAGTAGACATGGTGCCCGTCTCAGAGGCCCTGTGAAGGTTCAATGAGAGAACTCATGTAAAATGTTTAGTATGAGACCAGACTTGAGTCAAGCTTTTGATATGCTGTCTATTATTATGGGAGGCAGGTCACCTACGTGGTTAAGAGAATGATTTTGGAATCAGAGACACCTGGGTTCAAGACCCAACTCAGTTCTTTACCAAAACGAGCAAGATGAGAAGGCAATAGAGGCTTCATCAAGACGGAAGTCACAGTCTTCTGTAACCCAATCTTGGAAGTGGCGTCCCATTGTCTTTGCCAAATCCTGTTGGTCAGAAGCCATCGCCAGGTCCAGCCCATATTCAAGGGGAGGGGATCCTAGAGGGGCTTGACTAGGGGAGATGGGAATCGTTGGGGGTCGTCTTAGAAGTTGCCTTCCACACTCTCTGTGCCTTCATTTTCTCATTTTAAAAGAAGGAAAACAAAACACCTCACAGTGTGTCATGAAGGCTCGTTCATTCACTTACTTGTTCGTTCAATAAATAATTACTAAGGGCCTGTGTTGCATCAAGCTGTTCTAGGCACGTGGTGACCAAGGGAGCCAGGATTCCTGTCCTCATGAAGCTTACACTCCAGTGGGGAGGGAAGGGGACAGATAAAAGAAACAAGTATACAAACGGACAAGATAATTTGAGTTAGTGATGGGTGCTTCGTAAAATGAAACAAGATAACTGATGGAGAGCAACTGGGTGCTAATTCAGAGTTGCAGGGAAGGCTTCTCTGAGGAAGTGTCATTTGAACTGAAACCTGTAGACGAGAAGAGGCCAGCCATGCACATATCTGGGGAAAGAATTAGCAGGAACAGCATGTGCAAAGGCCCTGAGGTTGAATCGAGTTTGATATGACTGAGCACAAAAGGAAGGCCATTGTAATTTCAGCTTAACGGGTGAGGGAGAGGGTGATGGGGATGTAGTCAGCAGGGGGTGGAGACCAAGGTGAGAATTTGGGTTTCAGTCTGAGTGAGATGGGAGTCGTGGGACTGTTTTGGGCAGGGGAGGGACAGGCATTTATTGCATATAAAGGTTCCTCTCTGGCTGCTGTGGAAGGAGGACCCTGCAGACTGCAGGGGGCAGGGGTGGCAGCAGGGAGCCCAGGGAAGCGATTAGAGGGGTTGTCTGGGTGAGCAATAATGGTGGCTTAGACCAGAGTATAGATAGGTTCAGAGAAGAGGTCAGATACATTTGGGATACATTTTGGAGACAGAGCAACTGGACTCAGCCAAAGATAGGAAGTGTGTTGGGTGTAGGAAACAATCAAGACTGACTCCTGGATTTGGGGTTTGAGCCATGGGGTGGTGCCATTTACTGGGGAAGGGGATATTTTGGGGGCAGAATAGGGAGTTATGTTGTGGCCATATTAGGGTTCGAGAAGATGAAGAGAGCCAAGCCAAGTTCACTGCCTAGCCTATCATGTTTCTGTTCCACCACCCAGAGATGTGCTGGGCTTGCTGAGATGAAAGTTGCTGTGAGGCGGATGTCTTCCTCATGCTCGTCCCGGCTGCTGTGGGACCCAGTAAAGAGGCTGGGGCCCCAGTCTGGGTCTGGTGGTCCAGCACAGAGTGTGGTGAAAATAGTCAATTGGCCCTGAGCATCCCTCCCTCCCTCCTTCTCTCCCTCCTGGTTTGCCTTCCTTTGTACAGCAGAAGCTGGGAAATAAAAAAAAACTACATTTCCCAGACTTCCTTGCAGCTCTGGTTCTACATGTAGCATTGGTTCTACCAATTAGAAACGCTCATGAGAGATCTGGAAGATAGAAGTGAGGCAGAACCCTGTGTGTGTGTTTATCCTGCTGGATACTTATTTTAAATAATTTTATTTTATCTTCATACTAATAATTTTTGTTCAGCACTCCAGTGGACCTATCTCCAGCTCTGTGGGTGTTGGGAGGCGTTCTTGAACTCAATAGTCCTGGTAGCATCCTCCTGAGTCTTTGCCATTCTCACTGAGCAGAGGAGGAAGCTCCCTTATTCAGCTCTGTGGGATTTCAACCTATTCCAGGGCTGCTCAAAATATGGTCTCATAGGCGGCATCATCAGCATCGCCCGGGAGCTTGTTAAAAATGCAAAGTCTGGGCCTGCCCAGTGGCGTAGTGGTCAAGTTCACGTGCTCTGCTTCAGAGGCTCAGGGTTCGCGGGTTTGGATCCTGGGTGCAGACCTACACACCTGCTCATCAAGCCATGCTGTGGCGGCATCCCATATACAAAGTAGAGGAAGACTGACACCGATGTTAGCTCAGGGACCATCTTCTTCAAGCAAAAAGAGGAAGATTGGCAACAGCTGTTAGCTCAGGGCAAATCTTCCTCAGCAAAAAAAAAAATAAAATAAAATAAAATAACCAAACCAAAAAAATGCAAAGTCTTGGGTCCCATGCCCCACACCTACTGAGTGAAAAATTTTCGGGTAGGATCCAGGAAGCTGTGTTCCACAAAGTAGTCCTGGGGATTCTTTGCACACTGAACTTTAAGAAGCACTGGCCCACAGCCCACTCTCTCAACCCCTCCAATGATACTGTAAGCCCCTAAATCCTTGTATTAAATCCCTTTCTGTTTAATATGCCCAGAATGGTTCCCACACTGAACTCTGGCTGACAGAGTCAAACCAGAGTTCTAGAATTAAACCGTCAGGGTTTGAACCCCAGCTCACCGCTTAACAGCCACGGGGCCGTGGGCAAGAGACCTTGTGTGGCAAATTGTAATTTCCAAAGATGGCCGCAGCATATCTCCCATCCCACATGCTTTTCTGGAATCTTGCCTCACTGTCTTCATGAGGTGAAGTCTATATCCCATTCCCTTGAAACTGCACAAGCCTTTGTGACTGCCTTAATTAGCAGTCCAGGGGACACTAAGTGACTTCTGAAGCTAGGTCTGGAAAATGCAATACATTCCGCCTGGCTCTCCCGGGGTATTTGCTCTTGGGGAATCCAGCCACCATGTCACCAGGAAGCCCATGCAGAGTCTGGAAAGGTACCGACAACCTCATTCTACCTGCCCCTGCTGAGTCCCCAGCTGACAGTTGGCCTCAACTTGGCAGCCATGTGAGTGAGCCACCTTGGAAACAGATCCCTCAGCCTCCAGTTGAGATTCTCTGGCTGATGCCAGGCGGAGCAGAGACGAGCTGCTCTGCTAAGCCCTGCCCAAGTTGCATATTCGGGAGCAAAATAAATAACTGTTGTTGTTTTAAACCCCTCCACTTTTGGGGGACACTTTGTTACGCAGCAAAAGCTAACTGATGCACTTTGTCTTTCTAAACCTCGCTTCTCAAGGGGATAAAAGCCCAGACCTTACAGGGTTGCTGTGAGGTTACATGAGATGAGGCATGTATCAGGCCATTGAAATGCTCCATACGTGTTAGCAACTGTTATTCTGCCACTCACGTGCTAGCCCAGGCTGCCGTCTCTCCAGCATCCTTCTCTAGATTCCCCCCTCTTGCTTTCCATACTTGCAAGATGCCCCTCAGAGAATGACAGCAGCTCCATCACTGGGCACCCACTCTGTGCCAGGCCTTGTACCCACGAGCTGTCCTCACATCCTCACAGACCTCCCTGAGGTGGGCGTGTGGGGATCACGGCTGATCCCATATGATCCCATTTTCCTGGTGAACAAATCGAGGCTCAGAGAGGGCAAGTGGCTTGCTCAACACCAGAGAGTTGGCTTGGTCTGGCTGACTCTGAAATCTCTGCCCCGTTCCCCCCACCCCCAGACGAAATGTCCCTTCAGCGCCCACCTCCAACCCATAGGGAGGAGCCCTCACTTGCCGGCCCTCCCACAGGGAGATGAAAAATGCACTCAGTGGAAACGTGGCAGGACAACAATTAATTTATTTATTGAGGGTGAGGTGGGGGGAGGAGAGGGGAGAGTTGGGGGCACGGCCTCTCTTGCCCACATGTGCCAGAGCTTCTTTCTCTCCCAGCAGCAGCCTTCCACCACCCCTGGAAAGCCAAGGTCAGCAGGACGAAACGGGGCTCATGGGAGCCAGAGAGAAGGCGCGGTCAGAGGGGAGATGGAGCTCATGGGGTCAAAGGTGAGGCAAGCTTGGAGGTGAGGGAGGATCAGAGGGAGGGGTCAAAAGTAAACTAGGGCTTATAAGTGTGGGGGTGCCATGGGGTTCGTGGGGGAGACCAAAGGTGATGGAGAGGTCAGGGGTGAAGGAGGGCTCATGGAGTTAAAGGTGGGGCTTGAGGGGTCAGAGGTGAAGTAGGGTTCATGGGGGTGTCAAAGTTGGAAGAGCTCAAGGGTGAAAGGTTGGCCGGGGTCAGAGGGGAAGTGAAGGTCGTAGGGTCAGAGGGTCAGAGGTGAAGTGGGGTTCATGGGGTCGGAGGGGGGCTCTAGGAGGTCAGAGGTCAGCAGCCTAGCAGGGGGCAGACATGAAATAAACCAGACGGCCCTAGGCCACCTCCTCCTCGGCCTCCTCCTCGAACTCGCCCTCCTCGGCCGTGGCGTCCTGGTACTGCTGGTACTCGGACACCAGGTCGTTCATGTTGCTCTCGGCCTCGGTGAACTCCATCTCGTCCATGCCCTCGCCCGTGTACCAGTGCAGGAAGGCCTTGCGCCGGAACATGGCCGTGAACTGCTCCGAGATGCGCTTGAACAGCTCCTGGATGGCCGTGCTGTTGCCGATGAAGGTGGCGGCCATCTTCAGGCCGCGGGGCGGGATGTCGCAGACGGCCGTCTTCACGTTGTTGGGGATCCACTCCACGAAGTAGCTGCTGTTCTTGCTCTGCACGCTCAGCATCTGCTCGTCCACCTCCTTCATGGACATGCGGCCGCGGAACACGGCGGCCACCGTCAGGTAGCGGCCGTGGCGGGGGTCGCAGGCGGCCATCATGTTCTTGGCATCGAACATCTGCTGGGTGAGCTCGGGCACCGTCAGGGCGCGGTACTGCTGGCTGCCCCGGCTGGTCAGGGGGGCGAAGCCGGGCATGAAGAAGTGCAGGCGAGGGAAGGGGACCATGTTCACGGCCAGCTTGCGCAGGTCGGCGTTCAGCTGGCCCGGGAAGCGCAGGCAGGTGGTGACCCCGCTCATGGTGGCCGACACCAGGTGGTTGAGGTCCCCGTAGGTGGGGGTGGTGAGTTTCAGGGTGCGGAAGCAGATGTCGTACAGGGCCTCGTTGTCGATGCAGTAGGTCTCATCCGTGTTCTCCACCAGCTGGTGCACCGAGAGGGTGGCGTTGTAGGGCTCGACCACCGTGTCCGACACCTTGGGCGAGGGCACCACGCTGAAGGTGTTCATGATCCTGTCTGGGAACTCCTCCCGGATCTTGCTGATGAGCAGCGTGCCCATGCCCGAGCCCGTGCCCCCGCCCAGCGAGTGGGTCAGCTGGAAGCCCTGCAGGCAGTCGCAGCTCTCCGCCTCCTTCCGGACCACGTCCAGGACGGCGTCCACCAGCTCTGCGCCCTCCGTGTAGTGGCCCTTGGCCCAGTTGTTGCCGGCTCCAGACTGGCCTGAAGAGGGAAGGCGGGGGGGGGGGGCACAGGCAGGCAGTTATGGGAAAAGCCCACCCTCCGCCCCACCCCCAGCCATCCTAGGAGTTGCATAATGTTAATTGTTCTGTCTGCTTCCACCCAGCAGCCAGAAGGATCCTGGTAAAACCTAAACCAAATTATTTCCCACCTTTGCTCAAAATCATCCCAGGACACCCATCTTTCAGTAAAAGCGCACCAGGCCCTGCACGACCTGCCCCCATCCCCTCTCTGCCTTCCCTCCTCCCTCCCCCTCACTCCCTCTGTTCCAGCCACATGGGCCTCCTCGCTGTTCCTCCAACACGCTAGGTATGGCCCTGCCCCAGGGCCTTTGCATGGGCTGTTCTCTCAGCTTGGAATGCTCTTCCCCCAGAGACCCACGAGGCTCCCTCTGGCACCTCCCTCAGGACTTGTCCCCCTCTGTGAGGCTCTCTCTGATCACCCTATACACAACTGCAACTCCTCCCCATTTCTTATTCCTCTTCCTTGCTTTATTTTTCTCTGTCACCTTGACAAATCTGTGTTGTCTTATTAATCATGTTTATTATCTGTAATCTCACAGGGGAGCACAACTCCAGGAGGACGAGGATTAGTATTAAAATATTGGCTGGTATTTTTGTGAACAGGTAACGTTTCTTCTCACTCCTCCCTCTCAACCTGCATCCTGGTCAGGCTCCGTCATCCTCTACCTGGACTGGTCCTGGACTCCTGCCCTCAACCCTCACAGTCTGTTCTCCCCTATGCAGCCACCAGAGGGTGCCAGTGAGCACTTGACTCAGGCCCAGCCCTCCTCTGCCCACAGCCCTCCAGAGCTCCCACCTTCCTTGGGGTAGAAGCCCAAGTCCTTCCCATTGTCCCCAAGGCCCTGCATGACCTGCCTTGTCCCCTCTGTTCCCTCCCCTCCTCCCTCTCTCCCTCTCACTCACTCTGCTCCAGCCACACAGGCCTCCTTGCTGTTCCTCCAACAAGCCAGGCCTGGTCCTGCCCCAGGACCTTTGCACAGGCTGTTTTCTCTACCTGGAATGCTCTCCCCCCAGGTACTCACATGGCTGACTCTTCCTTCAGGTCTCTGTTCAATGTCACCTCCTCAGAGAGAACAGGATTTGACCAGGCGGTCTGGCTCCTGAGTCTGCACTTTGACCACCACCTACCCCACCCTGCCTCCCAGAGGCCATAGAACCTCTTGGCCTGCCTGGAGCCACTCATGATCATTCTAGAATCCCTTACGTCCTTTGGCCAACCTCATTTAATATTTCCACAGCCATTTCCTGAGGACCTATTGTGCATCATAGGTACATAAAAGCATCATTATCTTGCTTCATCTTTCCATAGAACAGAGAGGGGAAGTCACTTGTCCAAGGTCACACAGCTTGTCCCATCAATCCAGACTCTAAACTACCGTGCTCCAAGGAGGAGAGATGCTGGGGTGGTGGGGGAGGGTAGAGCCCGGGGCCTGAGGCCAGGTAGAGGTGATCAGCCAGCCTGACCTCGGAGGCACCAGGAAAGGTTTCCTAGAAGGACGTTCACAGAGTGTGCATGCCCCTTAAATCTGAGTCCTGCAAATGTGCTCATTGTCTGTGCATATGCTGTTTCCTCTGTCTTGTACACCTTTCCTCCCTTTAATGCCTCTTGGTCAGCCCACATCCTACTCATCTTTTATGCTGTAGACATTCATAATGATAATGGTAATAAAAACAACAAGTGCTTATTTACCTTTTCCTCTGTGCTAGGCATAATTCTAAGTCCTTTACACATATTAAGAGCTTTAACCCTCACAACCCTGAAGAGTAGGTCTTTTTATAATTCCTGTTTTAAACACGAGGAGACTGAGGCACAGAGGAGCCTGTGCAGTCACCCAGCTGACTCAATGGCTGAGTTTTCCTTATGTATCTTCTCATCCCATCTCCCTTCTCCAGGGTGTCAGCTCCGGGAGGGCAGAGGGCTTTGTCTGTTTTGTTCTTGGCCGTACCCCCAGGGCATACAGTAGGCCTGGTCTGCAGGAGGTGCTTACTAAGTATTTGTGGCAGGCATGAAGCTGCAGAGCTGGCATATGCATCTGGGCAGTCTGGCTTCGGTCCATACGGTTAAATTAAAAGGCCGCCTCCTCCAGGAAGCCTCCCCCCTCATCAGATGCCTCCCCTGGGCTCCCACAGTGGCCTGTGCGTCCCCCATCACAGCCCTGACTGCCCTGTCCGCCTCCCCCACGGGGCTGTGGGCCCCCATAGTCCGCCGTTGAGTCTCTGATGGTGGGTGGAGAATTTTCATGGAGGATTTAGAAGTGGGGGCTTGCCAGCCTGTGCTCCATGCCCATGACTCACCGAACACAAAGTTGTCAGGCCGAAAGATCTGGCCGAAGGGGCCGGAGCGGACGGAGTCCATGGTGCCCGGCTCCAGGTCCACCAGCACGGCTCTGGGCACGTAATTTCCTCCTGCAGAGAAGCAGATGGAGGGCAGCTGGGGCGAGCGCCAGGCACCAGCAGCCTGTCCCCTCCCGGCCCTGCAGACGCCCCTGTGTCTTACCTGTGGCCTCATTGTAGTACACGTTGATTCTCTCCAGCTGCAGATCACTGTCCCCGTGATATGTGCCCGTGGGGTCGATGCCATGCTCATCACTGATCACCTCCCAAAACTAGATGGGGTGGTGGTGATAACGATGGATAGAGGGGGAGCCCACCCAGGCCTGCCCCTGCCTCCCTGGGCGTGGACCCCCCACCATCACCCTAGCTGCCACCTGCCCCCCAGCAAGGTGAATGGGGGACCTAGAGGCATGGGGGGGAGGCAAGGATGAGGCAGCAAGCAGGGCGAGGTGGGGGCGGGGTGCAGCCGAGTCACCACCCCAGCCCAGCGGGCTGGTGTCAGCGCGCCCCCGGCTGCAGCCGCGGGGAGGGGCGGGGTCTCTTTGTGCGCGTGCAGGGGACAGAGGGCCAGCTGTGAAGCCAGCTGCGGCCAGCGGACAGAAGGCTGGGCCCCACCCCCATCGGCCTCTTTGTTCCCAGCTTGGTCCTGCCCCCGCGCCCCTCCCCCACCGTCCCTGGGGTGCCAGCCTCCGGGGGACCCCGTCCTCCCAAAAGGCCCAAGGTGGGGGAGCCCTGCTGAGCTCGGGGACCCTGCTCCGCTCCTCTCGGCCGCCTCCCCGGGCCCGTCCCCCGCGCACCTTGGCCCCGATCTGGTTGCCGCACTGGCCGGCCTGCAGGTGCACGATCTCCCGCATGGCGGTGGCGCTGGTGGGGGACGCGGCGGCGGTGGCGCGGATGCTGGGGCGGCGGCGGCGGCGAAGCACGGTCCCTGCGGCCCCGGGGCGCCTCTATATGAGCGGGCGGGGCTCGCGTCACGGCCGGTCACCGGCCCGCTCCGCCCCCTGGTCCCGCCCCCGGACGCGGGGTGCGGGGGGTGGGGGGAGGGATCACCCTCCCCCGCAGCCTGGAGACCCCCGGGGGCGCAGGCTGGGGCTCGCTAGTGTCCCATGCGCGCCCACCCGGGGCCGTGGGGGGCGAGGCCCCTCCGGCGCCATCAGTAGCATCCCCCCCTCCCCGCCCCTCCCCGCCCCCAGCCAGGCCTGGCCACCCGGGCTTTGCAGAGACTGAGCGGGGGCAGGGAGAGCGCCCGGTAAACAAGCGGCAGGGGGGTTCTGCCTCAGTTTCTCTGTCGGCAGCCTCCCTCCCCATTCCGCTTAGGTCTCATTAGCCAGAACCCTTGCATTAACTGGGAGGGCTCCTGGAGGGGCCGAGCTGGGGGCTCTGGAGTTGCGATCTGTGTTGTGTGTGTCTGGTGGGGGGTGGAGGGTTGGTTCCTGGAGGACTGGTCTTGAAGCTGCATCGTAAGTAAAACCTCGATTTTCCTTCCATGTTCGGGGGTGCTTGTGGACGCCTCTGTTGGGCTTGGGGTCCATAGCAGGTGGGGGTCACCTCCAGCCTTGCCTGGGGTCGAACATCAAGGATTAATGAAGACTAAGGGCTGGATGACATATTGGGGGCCTAGTGGGCCCCTCAGGGCTGCCTTGCTCCCTTCAGATCCCCACCTCTCAGCTGCAGTGTTATAATTTATTACAAGTCATCGCCCTCCCTTCGGATTTATTAGCTGTGTGACCTTGCACGGGCCACTTTGTCTCTCTATGGCTGAATTTCCTCTTCTGCAAGATGGGGCAGCCAAGGATGCCTGCCCTTTAAGCCGGTTGGAACGGTCCAATGAGGCGGCCCAGTTCAGATGGCCCCAGTTCCCCCTTGCGCAGAGATATTAGTGTTACAATTATTATCAGGGGCTGGGTATGATCAGGGGCTTTCTGTGCTGCCCATCAGGTGAAGGCCAGATCTCTTCAGCTGGCAGCCTCCCTCTCCTGCCTCCCAGGAAGCCTCCTCCTCAGTCCCGTGGCTCCGGGGTATTGTGGGGTGTGGATGGGGTCAGCCAGGTCGGCTATATGGCTGGGACCACACATTCGCCAGTGGCCTCTGAATTTTAACCAGTGCTTCTCAACTGGGCGTGGGGGGAGGGGTGGGTGGCGATCCTGCCCCCCAGGGGACACTTGGTGTCATCTGGAGAGATTTTTGGTTGTCATGCTTGGATGGGGTGCGTGTGTGTGCTACTGGCGTCTAGTGGGTCGATGTTGCTAAACATTCTACAGTGCACAGGACAGCTCCCCGACCCCCTCAAGAATTATCTGGCCCTGAATGTCAATAGTGCTGAGGGCTGAGAAACCTTATTAATAACTTGGGAAAAAAATTAACTTAGACTTCTAGCTCACACTATACTCCACAATAAATTCCCGAGGGGCCAGAGGGTATAAACCCAGGGGATCCCCCAGCATCTGTGAGTTACTTCCTCTCTCCATCCCCAACTAAAGAGGAGGTATTTAAATCTGTATTTAAGGGGGTGTTTTTAAATGTATGCAGCATCCTAGCACCTCGGTGGGTCTGACGATGATGGAAGGCAGGGTCTCTTGGGGGTTAGGAACCCCCTAACCAGGAATTCTCAGCTCTCAGGGGACACTTGGAAATTTCTAGAGACATTTTTGATCATTACAACTTGGGGATTTTTTTTTTTTTTTTAATGAGGCGATCAGCCCTGTGCTAACATCTGCCAATCCTCCTCTTTTTTTTCTTTCCTGAGGAAGACTGGCCCTGGGCTAACATCCGTGCCCATCTTCCTCCACTTTATATGGGACGCTGCCGCAGCATGGCTTGCCAAGCAGTGCATCGGTGCGCGCCCGGGATGCGAACCGGCGAACCCCGGGCCGTGGCATCGGAATGCACGCACTTAACCACTTGCGCCCCAGGCCGGCCCCCAACTTGGGGCTTTTATTCACATCCAGTGGGTGGGGCCCAGGGATGCTGCTCAATGTCCCACAGTACACAGGACAGCCCCCCACAGCAAAGAATGATCCGACCCCAAGTGCCAATATCAGTAATGCCAAGGTAGAGAAACCCTGATTTATACTTTTGAGGTTGTCACCCAATGCAAATGTTGTTACAACTGATCCCCAACACAAGGTGCCCAGATTGAAATACGAGGTCCACCAACCCATGTTAACATATACCAAAAATTCGTAGACGCTCTGTTGGAATTTCTTAATTTTCTAATATATCAAGAATCATAAAAACATAAAAGTGCAAGTGACCCTGTTGGGAGGGACTGATTTGGGGCTCAGCCCTGGAGAAAGGGGGTTTCCTGTGTCACCCCACTAGAGCAGGGCTGATTTGGGGTGTGGACTGAGCTCCAGAGAGGCAGAGCTTCCTGGATTAGCCCGCCTGGGAAGGGACAGCTCCCCGGAGAGTACGGGCCTTGCGGTGGGGACCCTATATCTTTCTGTGCATCAGAGCATCTCAGGCTCCTTGACGGCCCTCAGGGGAGGAATCTAGAGTGGGGGAAGGGGGCAGAGAATGGAGAGCAGGGGGCAGGAGCCTTCTAGCACCTGGAGCTGCTGGAACCTGGCATCACCTGAGATGTAGAAAGGCTGGAGATGTAGAAAACCTTTGAGGATGAAGGGGGAGGTGTTTGGGGTGGGCTGACGTCACCTGCACCCCATAGCTGCCCCCTCCCTTGTCTGGCCTCTCCTGGGCTCCCAACCTGACAGGTGAAGAGTGCCAGGTGTACCCATGGCTCCCAGGCACGCAGACTCTTCCTGGTACCCAAGCATCCCTTGGCATCACCTACCACCCAGAAAGCCATCAGGGCTCCCTGTACAAATCCAAAGACCGTGTCAGAGGGGTGGTGCCAATAGTCCAAGATCCGGAGGTAGCCAGTGAACAGAGCCAGGAACAAGAAAAGGAGCTGGATGGTGGGCCGTAAGAGCCGGGTTTTCTGTCCCCAGGAGCCGGCCTGCACATAGAGCTGGGGGACGGGCGGGTAGCATCTTGAAACTCCAGGAGCCTGTATCCAGAGGGACTCCACCCGGGGGCTGCATTTTTGCACCCACCTGCCTGTCTGACCCTGGGCAGCCAGGGTGTGGGGCAGGACATTCTACCTTGCCAGTTTTGTATGGAGATGGATTTCAGCCTCTAAAGGTGGTATTGGCTGTGGTCCCCAAAACCGTCATTGTAAGAGAGCTTTATGCTATTAACTTCATGCTAGTGTTGGGAGAATGGTAAGATGCTGAACGAGTTTCCAAGCCGTCAAGTGAGACCCTATGTGTGGGCTCACACTGTGGCCACATGCTCCCACCTCCTGTCAGCCTCAGATCTCCAATCGAACCAGGTCGGCCTCATCAGGGAGCCCTCAAAACGCAGAGGCTGGGCTGCTGATGTTGAAACAGAAAACAGAAAAAATAAAAATCTGAATTTTAAACACCGGGCTACATTTACTTCCTGGATACGTGTAGGAAGAGTGGGAAAGTGGCTGTTGTGTGTTTCAGAGAGCGATGGGCAGGAAGACTCATGAGGCGAGGGAATTCCCCGAGATGCAGAACATTCTGCTCACGAAGCTGACCACTCTTTCCGGGGTCTGCAAAACAGGGGAAAGGCCTGTCTCCTGGCCGTGTGTGGTCTGCCACACGGGGGGCCACATTGCCGCCCCATCTGTGCGCCTCTGGGCATCGCTGACATGCACCCCGGCCCCCAGTGCTCCCCAGGGGATGGAGGGAGTCGGTTTTGCCTGTTATTAATAAAAGTGACCTTTAGGCCAGATCTTGTCCTAAGTGCTTTGAGAGTACCAGCTCGTTTATATTTTAACTCACGAAACCACAACCCTGGGACATAGGTGTTGTTTGCCTGTCCGTTTTACAGATGAGGAAATGGAGGCCTGAGGAGGTTGAATATGTCAGTGTCACACACAGTTGGGGCTGGGAATAGAGCCCTTACTTGCCAGCTTCAAAGGCCCAGCTCTGTTATCGCTACAGGAAGCTGTAATTATTTTGTTACTTGGTCTTTAAGGAAAAAAAAAAAGGTTGGCAGTCGAATGGGTCATCTTTCAGGAAGAAAATGTCGCTGGTGTGAAGGCAGCCGTGTGACTGTCACGTGCTCCGTGGCCTGGGCCTCTGTCTGTGTCATTGTGTCTGCCCACCATGGTGCCCGGGTGCTCTGGGCTGGCTCTGATGTGTGCGATCTGCTCCCACTGAATCTATGCCCTCTTTGTCCACTGGGCCCCTCCCCCGTTTCTCCTGCCACCTCATTGCCCAGACCTTAGACCTACACCTCGGCTGAGTCTGATTTCCCTTCCCCCTGCCCCTGGTGGAACCCAGCGCTGGGCATTGACCTAGCCTGGCACGGCTCTCTCCAGCTGCGAGGAGGAGGAGACACAGGGTTCTGGAAGTAGCTGTTCCAAGACAGAGATGCTGAATGAGTCTTAAGAGAAGATAGGCCCTCCCCGTTCTTGCCTTCCCAACTCTGGGGACACACACGAGCTCTCTGGAAGCCGTGCCTGGCACTGCTGGCACCAAGCATGGGGTGGCGGAGGGTGGGGGGACAATGGAGCATTCTCTGGTTTTGCTGAGTATGTGGCCCACCTCCCGCCAACACTTACCACCAGATACACCATGTGTACATCCCGAAGGAGGCGTGCTCAGAATAGAAGGATTTCCTGGGGGATGGGCGGGGGTTGGGCTGACATCAGCTGGGGTTGGGCTGGGGTGGGGACACTTCCTGGGTCTCCCTTCCCGCCCACCCGCTAGCCTGGCATCGAGGACATCTTCAGGGTGCCCGGTGCAGGTGTAATTGGTGATGTCGCTGCTCTCACAGTTGAAGGAGGCCGGGTCTGGCAGGCGCACGGCCAGGAAGTGGGGCTGCAGGTGACCTGTGGTCATCTTGGCAACGCTGGTCAGGGAGGAGCTGGCCATGCCGCCAAACGTGAAGGCGCCCAGCTG